TAAGAAGTCCCAAGATCTGTTAACTGTAACTGAGACCAGAAAACCCAATAGTACAATTCCAGTCTGAGTCTGAAGGCTTGAGAAGCAGGAGAGTTGATAGTGTAAGTGCCAGTCTGATTCCAGGAGCAGAGAAGGACTGTGCTAACTTTACTCAGTGTTTTGTTTTACCGGGCCTCAGTGGATAGGATGATGTCCACCCACATTGGGGAGGGCAATCTGCTTTACTGGGTCTACTGATTCAAATACTAGTCCATACAGAAATACCCTCATGGAGACCCCCAGAATAACGCTGAACAAATCTCTGAGCACCACACGGCCTAGCCGAGATGAAACATAAAATTAAGTATCATAACAGCTTAACTTCTAAATTAGAAACTTCCTACTCTGTATATTTAGGTTCCAAATCCCATCAAGTCAAATGGATCTTAGGAAGTGTTCCACCTAGTTATTATTGGCTTCAGGCCTAAAACATTATAAATCTACAACATAATATCACTTATGTAAAACTTCAAGAAGCTTTATTATAGTTGATCTTGCTTCAGAGAAAGTGCAGCTATACAACTTAGACAATGTAGTAACTGTAATCCAAGAGAAGCTAGACCTGCAAGTCTAAGGCCCTAAGAAAAAAATTAACATGAGCTGTATTGTTAATGAGGACCCCCAAATCCTCTGGATTTTCTTTGGAGGTGAAAGCTGAGTTAATTAATAGGGACTACATTCCTTGACATGGCATCCTAAGGATGATATGTGTCATTGCTATTTCTATGATGCTTAGAAAGAAAACTCTAAATGATCATATATTTTTCTAGAACAAGAAAGTGTGTTTCAGGTACTTTCACTACCTGAGTTGTATATTTTCAGTGCTGTGTACACACACACACACACACAGAGAGATTATAGAGAATATATTTGATATGTTTCACAAATTCTACCTAAATCTCAAATTCATAGCTCCCATGGGACTTCGGTGTTCTGGGAGGGACCCAGTGGGAGGTAAATGAATCATGGGGTGGGTCTTTCCATGCTGTGCTCATGATCATGAATAAGTCTCATGAGAGATCTGATGGTTTTGTAAAGGAGCTCTCACACATGTTTCTTGCCTGCCACCATGCAAGATGACTTTACTGCTCCTTTGCCTTCTGTTGATTGTGAGGTCTCCCCAGCCACATGGAACTGTGAGTCCATTAAACTTTTTTTTCTTTATAAATGACCCAGTCTTGCATATGTCTTTATTAGCAGCATGAGAATGGACTAATACAATATCTCTACAAATATACAGTAGAGAAATGGTATAAGCAAGTAAAATTTCTGGCTGGGCATAGTGGCTCATGCCTGTAATCCTAGCACTTTGGGAGGCCGAGGTGGGCCATCGCCTGAGGTCAGGAGTTTGAGACCAGCCTGGCTGACATGGGGAAACCCCATCTCTACTAAAAATACAAAAATTAGCCAGGTGTGGTGGAGACATGCCTGTGAACTTGCAGCAATTGGGAAGCTGAGGCATGAGAATCCCTTGAACCCAGGAGATGGAGGTTGTAGTGAGCCGGAGATCGCGCCACTGCACTCCAGCCAGGGCAGCAAGAGCGAAACTCCATCTCAAAAATACATTTAAAAAAATAAATAAATAAAATTTCAAGTTGTATCTGAGGCTGCTTCCTTGGAAGCTCTTCTATCCTCAGGATCACTCTAAACTTTGGTGGTTTATGCTAGGAAATCATTTTTCCTCAAATGCCATATTCAGTTCAAAGTGTTCCATTTCCATGAGTAATGACAAAACACAGTGTCTCCCCTGCCTCCACTCCAGTGGCATGGAGAAGAACCTACTTATATTCATAAGAGTTCTGGAAGGCAGCTCACCAACTTTGGGCAAAGGTAGAGAGGACTCCAGATCCCATTAGGCCAAAAAGAAGCCAAATGCTAATTTTAAATCTCATTTTGCCTGCCCCAAATGTGGACACCATTGTTAGGCCAGTTCTATATACCACAGGTACCTCTTGCAAGTCTCTTAGAACAAGCTGTTCCCCTAAAGGATTTTCCAAGGAACTAGAACATGGGTGTATTTGGGCCTGGATCAGCTCCTCCATGAATCTTCCAGGGAGGAGGTGGGTGGTCAGCCTCCTGAGACAAGAGTGTGTAGAGGTCAGGATATGGGCTCTGAAGCCAGACTACCTATGTTTGAATCCAGGTTCTGGGTTTACGATCGGGGAATGTGAGGGAGTTATACAACTGCTCATGCCTTGGTTCCTCCTTTCTATTGAATGGGGCAAATTATGGTACTTAACTGATCAAGTTGCTGTGAGGATTAAACAAATGACACATGTAAAGTGCTTAGTACAAGACCTGGCATATAATAAGTGTTAAATAAGGGTTAGGAAAACTAGCTGTGATGTGGTGGTATACACCTGTAGTCTTAGCTACCTGGGAGGCTGAGGAAGTTTGCTTGAGGCCAAGGAGTTTAAGGCCGGTGAGCTATGATGGCATCACTGCACTCCAGCCTGGGCAACAGAGTGAGACCCTGTCTCTAAAAATAAAACATAAAAATAAAACAAAATAAAATAAACGCCTAGGGAACATGCTTCTGGACTTAAACATCCTCCAGGATTGATCCAGGTCCACAATCACCAGGAGTTGTGGGCAGTCTGTGGGCACCTGTCAGGCTGCATCTGTTGGGTAGCAGAACCTGCTTCTTTCTAACTCTAAGTCTGCCTATTTCTGCTCATTATGTCATCAGAATTCCTTAAACAATCTTATTTAACAGAACAACTAATTTAAGCCACTCTACAATGAAAAACGTGAGAGTGAGTCATGGCAAACTTTAACTGTAACCTTGTTAAGTGGAAATGGAGACAAATATTTGGAAAAGATCTTTAGAAATTGATAGATTCCAATGCGTTGAGGTTCTCTTAGGTCAGATTAGTGTTTCTGGCTTTTGCTTTCCATTTGTAAGCATGTCTCTCTCTCTCTCTCTCTCTGTGTGTGTGTGTGTGTGTGTGTGTGAGAGTGTGTGTGTGTTTATACTCCATGCCTTTATTTAGAGCTCTAAATCTCCTAAGGACGGGAACCATCTTAGCCACCTGACAAGAGAGAAGTAACCTCCATGCATTCGTCCTTCTACCCTCAAGAGGGATCCTCTTCAACCCGGGATGGTATAAGACAGAATACACACACACACACACATACACGCACACACACACACACATACATACACACACAAACACATATTTTTTTTTGAGTCAGAGTGTCATTTGTTGTCTAGACTGGAGGCGATGGCGCGACCGCCGCCGCAACCTCCACCTCCTGGGTTCAAGTGATTCTCCTGCCCTCAGCCTCCTGAGTAGCTGGGATTACAGGCATCCGCCACCACACCCGGCTAATTTTGTATTTTTAGTAGAGACTTGGTTTCTCCATGTTGGTCAGGCAGGTCTAGAACTCCAGACTTCAGGTGATCCACCCGCCTCGGCCTCCCAAAGTGCTAGAATTACAGGCATGAGCCACTGCACCCAGCCTAGGGCATAGAATAATATTTTGGGCTGGGCGGATGATTCTTGTGGCTTCTATCCTTTTTTCTTTTCTCTCCATATTCCTGGCTCTAATTCAGGTCTTTCTGTTGCCATGGTAACCAACAGTCTCAGAACACAGACTTCTGACAGCTGGACTTCTAGCCACTGAGACTCGGGATGTGAAGGATTTCATGTCTCCCTTTTGCCTCAGGATAGCAGCACTTCTTCCATGTGGGCAGCCACCAGGGCAGGGTGTGACAGTCTTGCATGTATGTTGGCATGCGCGTATGTGTGTGTGTGCGTTGCGTGTGTACGTGTGTGTGTGTGTGCGGCACACGTCAAGATGAGCACATTCTTCCAGTCCGCATTGGCTTTCCGGGGCTTGCCTTATGCTAGACTAAAAAGTGTCATCAGATGATGGAGGATGTGGGCATCTAAACAGTGAAACCTTTCTGGAAAGTAATTTGGTATCAACTAGCACAAGACTGTAATATATTTGTGATGTTTGGTCCATTAATCCTACATATAGAAAAAATAAGAGCTATAGTCAAAGATTTTTATAAAGCAGGTTTACTACAGATTTATTTAGTAAAACAACAACTACCACCTAATGGTCATAAATAAGAAGTAATTTAAAAATGCAGAGTAACCATATATATGTTTGTTGTAGGCTGGGCAAGCATAAAATAATCTTAGTTTTAACTGATAGATAGGCCACATTCACATATATATATATGTGGATATATTGTATAAATGTACAGATATACATGTGTAGTGCTTATATAAATAGAAAGATAAGGAAGTCCATCAAAATGTTTTGATAGTTGTTACCTTCAGAAGGTGGGACTATGGCATGTTTGTTTCGTCTTTCATACTTTTCTATATTTTTCCAATTTTAATGATTTTTTTATTTTATGATACAAGATCTTACAACTGTAATAGGACAAATTATGAGAGGTGGAGATGCTTAGTAGATAGGATTATATCACAATGAAGTCATTGAGTTGCAGACGGCTGCCTCTTCTGCTCCTTCACTGGGAGATTGTAAAATAGGATAAGACTTCCCCAAATGGGGTAGTTCTGAAGAGAAAAGGGATGGGGCTGGGCATAGAGCTCATGCTCAGATCCCAGCACTTTGGGGAGGCCAAGGTGGTGGATCACTTGAGGTGAGGAGCTCAAACCAGCCTGGGCAACATGGTGAAACCCCATCTCCACTAAAACTATAGTACTATTGCAGGTTGTTGGTGCCATAACTTGTGCCATTTGGGAGGCTGAGGCAGAAGAATCACTTGAACCCAGGAGGTGGAGGTTGCAGAGAGCTGAGATCACACCACTGCACTCCAGCCTGGGTGACAGAGCGAGACTTCATCTCAAAAAAAAAAAAGGGAGATGAATAATGTTTTTGTTTAAGTACCATGACTTCTTCTCTCCTGATCCCACCTACTTTTCTTTTTCTTCTTTTTTAAAGCTTCTTAGTTGAGAGAGATTTGTGCCTTGAACTCCATGGCATATTCATCCTCTAACAGCTTACATAGAGGACTACAGCCCAACCAATTCCAACCTGAGTCAGCGCTATTTCTGTGAGGACACCCCCTGTGAGGAGACACAACTCTGTGAAGACGCACCAAGGATCCTTCCATCCACTTTCTCCCTCCCATCCAAGGGGCATGGGGACTGAAAGATATGAGATGCATGAAGAGACAAGACCAAATTCAGGATGAACTGGTGAGCAGTTTTGCAAACCAGCATCTTTCCTAGCCTGGGACGTGACGTCAACTCCAACAACACAGACTCACAGCTAATAGGCTTCTAAATGGAGACACCAGTGGATATGAGCGCCAAAAGAGAAAACAAAACTTGTTGACAAACTGAATAATCTTGTGCAAGAGTTTCAGACATTTCTGTGAAAATCTGCAAGATGCTGAAGATGATGACGCTATGTTTCTTGAAACGATTTGCAGAAAGATTTAGTTGTCCGGCGACTCTCTGAAATGGTTCAGGTCAGTCATCAAGAACATGATGCTGTTTAAGACTGCCCAAGTGCAAACAGCAATTGGGTAAAATAAAGAGGCAGGCAGTCTCCACAGACTTGGCGGCTAAGAACATGAGCTGGTTGAGGAGAGCAGTAGAGATGCTCACAGACAGCAAGGGCTAGGCCGTTAGTTGAACCATTAGAATCTTACGACCAATTATGGTGGGTCCCAGGAGGTCTGACGAAACCCAGTGGGAGACAGATAACAAGGAAGGGAGTCAGGTGAGTTTTTAGGGAAAAGACTGAGGAACACTGAGGGAAACAAAGAGGGTAGCAAGCAAGGAGAAGGGAAGGCAACTATATCTCCTCCCACCAAAAAACGATATCTGTACAAATGAGCATTGAAACTTGCATTGACACTTGGCCATATTTTTTTTTTTTTTTTTTTTTGAGACAGACTTGCTCCATTGCCCAGGCTGGAGTGCAGTGGTGTGATCCTGCCACTGCAACCCCACTCGGTTCAAGTGATTCTCCTGCCTCAACCTCCCGACATGATTACAGGCATCCGCCACTCTAACTTTTATATTTTTATAGATGTGTTTCACTACAGTTGGCCAGGCTTGTGTCTAGCTCCTGACCTCAAGTGATCCACATGCCTCGGCCTCCCAAAGTGCTGGTACTACAGGCGTGAGCCACTGCACCTGGCCTCACTTAAAGGCTTTGCAAAAAGATGTGAGTTCCACAAATGAGTAAATGCTGAGTTGGCTGCTGTCATGGTTCCTACCTAACACATTTCTCCTCCTTATTTTCTTGGCAGATGATAAGCCAGGCAACTGCAGGCTGTGCTGACAAGTGCTCCAGAGATCTCAATCCTGTCAGAGCAGCCAGAGAAGGATGACACTCCTTCCCACACACAGGCTCAGTGCCAGGCCTGAACTCTTTGGGGTGGGCCTCAGCTGCCTGAGGCAATGTATCCCTCCTCTGCTGAGGAGGATCACCCCGGCGCTACCAGAGTCCCCATCGGCCAGCACTAAGGAAAACACTCTTTTCACAGACGCAAGAGAATTCAACTCTCAAGAAACTCCTGAATTAGACATTCCATATAGACAGATTTTTAAAACTTTTTGGAAAGTTGAAAATAATCCATAATGAGGATTCCATTAATAATCCCCATCAGTTTATTTTTTCCTCAATAAACAAAATAAATGCTCTTGTTACCCATGTCTTCCTCTTCCAGCATACCATCTGACCACATTTCAAGTATTATTGTTGTCTAAAATTTCCTGAAAATTCTTTCTCAGGAAATTTTAATTAGTATTATGCTTCCTAAACTCAAGTATTATTTTTCTCTCCTCTCACCCATTTATACTGTATTTTACCCTAGTTTATCTATTTTATGTATTTAACCTTATTTTTATCATTAACCCAAATCCTCACGGTAGACAGCAGCGTGACTCCGCCAGATTTTCATGGTAGCAGGAGGATTTGGATTGGAACTTGCAGACTTGACAGCTGGGAGTGGATAGCTGAGTCACCATGAAATTAATTTCACTTCAGGAAATCGACAGCAATTCTTGGATATTCCCCAGGACCTGGGATGCAATGTGAGGATTGTGATCACCATCAACCACTCTCAAGTCTAGCTGTCTCATTCAAAAGATGTGGAAGATAATAAATGCCATACCTCACAGGGTTAGTGAGAGCTATGAGGTAATACAAGCACTTGATAAATATTATTACTGTTGTTGCAAGTAGACATTCTCCTGAGGAACTCTCCGGAGAACTTGTTCAAGGGAGGATCAACGAGAGTTAATTAAGAGTCAATTCTCATTGAAACATTTCCCACACAGAGCAGTACTTACCAAAAGTTCAGAGTTTTCAGCAAATCTTAACCAAGTCCTCTCCCAACCCATTCCATTCTGCCCCTGAACTCCCTTGAATTGTCATTGAAGATTCCACTAAATGTCAACTTCTTTGAGGCACAGCCTCAGCCTTCTTGTCCTGACTCTCACCTCCCAGCACTTACCATCCTCCTCCTCATTCAACCACAGGTCTGTACCTAAGGGCCCCTCCTCTTCTGCTGGCACTACTATCCTGTGTGACCTTCTGTGAGTTTATGGCAAAGCATATAATTTTCAGTTTCAAATTCCTTCCTTTCTCAATTTCAATTCCCTATCCCCTCTCCTTCCTCTCTCTTCTTCCTTCTTCACATATATTTAGCAATAGAGTGCCAGATACCTTCTAGCTTGTCAAACAAAATCTCAAATCTTTAGGCCTATAATTTATTTAAGAGATAAAGTCAGGCAAACATATGACTATAAAGAGTATGAGTGATAATACTGTGTAGTAAGTAAACATTGAGTTCTAATGAAGTAATAATCCACTCAGCATGGGGAGGTTGGTTGTAAAAGGTTTCCTGTTCTGAACTTCTATCTGCTTCCTCTCTAGATCCAACCATACACCTCCTTCCCAAACTTGGCATGTTCTACTGCATTCGCAGTAATGACCTGCTTGCCTTGCCTTTCTTCTTTTCCCAGATACTTTAAAAATCTATGCGCTATTAAGTTCCCGAAGGACCCTCTTGCTCTTACTGCAGCCAACACACAGAACCATAGGATTTCTCCATTTCCTGATCACCTGGGAAACTCATCCTAAAGACTTGCCTAGGGTTACTATTGGGCATTACTGATCCTCAGGCAAAGGGATCATGACCCTCCTTTAGCTGTCCCCTAGTCCCTGCCCTGCCACCTTCATGACCTGTACTTTTCAGCCGTCTTTACAGATCTATTTTATCTGTAGACTGTGAGATCTAAAGGTGCCACCAGGTCTTGGGGCTCCTTTATATTGCAACTTAACACATTGGGCTGGGAGCAGAGCTCACACCTGTAATCCCAGCACTTTGGGAGGCCGAGGGGGTAGATCACGAGGTCAGGAGTTTGAGATCAGCCTGGGCAACATGGCAAAAACACTGTCTGTACTAAAATACAAAAATTAGCCAGGTGTGGTGGCAGGTGCCTGTAATCCCAGCTACTCAGAGGCCGGGGCTATGAGTGATCATTTGGATCCAGGAGGCAGAGGGCATTGAGCTGAGATGGCACCATTGCACTCCAGCTCCGGCAATGGAGTGAGACTCCATCTGGAAAAACAAAAACAAAAACAAAATCCTAACACAGTGTTTAGTAAAAAGTAATCTCTCTCTCTGACTCTATGTAATTCTTTAAATGTTTTTAAAGTATCCTGTCTATATAAATTTTAAAAAGTGAAATAAAACAGCTTTGCTATTCTTTAAGTCAAAAGAGACTGATCAGTAGGGTCAGAAATAGGAATGAAAAGGGAGGCAGACAAGAAGAGAACATGGCCATCAAGCAGAAGCCAAGGAGATGGCCACCTATCAATTGAGAAATCTATTAACTGAGGAATTGAAACTAAATTGAAAATTTAATTCAACAAATATGTCGGGATTTTATTGTTAAGCTTAGACTAGACACTATGATAGGCCTGGAAAGAAAGATGACATCTTTACTCTCAAGAGACTTGCAACCAGTTTTATTATTTTAATTCTTTTTTTTTTTTTTTTTTTTTTTTTTTTTTTTTTTTTTTTTTTGAGACGGAGTCTCGCTCTGTCGCCCAGGCTGGGAGTGCAGTGGCACAATCTCGGCTCACTGCAAGCTCCGCCTCCCGGGTTCAGGCCATTCTCCTACCTCAGCCTCCCGAGTAGCTGGGACCACAGGCGCCACCACTGCGCCCAAGCACTTTTTTTTTTTTTTTTTTTTTTCTATTTTTTTAGTAGAGACGGGGTTTCACCATGGTCTCGATCTCCTGACCTTGTGATCCGCCCGCTCGGCCTCCAAAGTATGGGATTACAGGCGTGAGCCACCACACTTCGCCTTATTATTTTAAATTTACCTAGTAATTAAGCTCTAGGACAAACTCAACCAAAATACTTTAAAAGACTGGTTCACACTGAATAAGATGCATTGTTCTTTAGTAAGATTTCTGACATACTTGTGTTTATTCATCAGTGTTTTATAAACCTGTTTTGGCAGGTAAGTGAACCTGTCCCCAAAATTTAGTTAATGTACTCTGCAAGCCTTTACAATAAAGTAAGCTTCCATGCCCTTTGAGGTTGAGTGTCACATATATATTAGAAAGCAGGACAAAGTATTTTAAAATAAGAAGTATCTCAGTATCTCTTAATTATAGTGTCAAATATGTTATTGGCCAGGAGTGGTGGCTCATGCCTATAATCTCAGCACTTTGGGAGGCCAAGACTCAAGGATCACTGAGCCCGGTCTTTGAGACCACAGCACCCGCCAGCTCAAGAGGATGCATGGGTCCAAGTTTAATACGCCAAGAACAGGTGTAAAATCCTCTTACAAAACAAAGAAAAAATGAAGCGAGTTATAAACGATCTCAGAGAGTGCAAAGTCCTTACACTAACAACAAAGAAAATGGAAGGAACAGTTAATTGCTGCTTCAAAAATATGTCTCTCATTCTACATTGCAAGTAGGAGAACTTATATAGCATACAGGACAATCTCCAATTTCAAGATGAATGGGTGGGTTTTATATTGCAATGCCTGAGTCAATCTTTTTCCTGCCACCTACTAATACCTCAAACAAATAGAACAACCTCAGGCCAGAAGTGAAATAAGATCTTCATCAGATAACACTCACTGAGTGAGCCAGTCATGAGCAGAATGAGTAAAAAGCCTCAGGATAAATTCCCCCAAAGGGTTATTAGCCTAGATCAAGAAGTACCAGGACAAAACAATTTCCGCTTTATTCCACCTTTCAAAGGAATTTGCTAGTTTTAATGACCATTTGATTTCAATATAATATGCTTTATAAGGAACTACTTCTAAGACATTTTCAAATGGTATGGTATACACCATAGCTTTTCAGATTGTGGCATTGAAAGAAAATTCATTTCATTACTACTAAATTCTCTCAGTCCAAAAGAAAACCAAAATAGCAATTTATTTAGTTTTTCCTCACCTGCATCAATAAAGATTATTTTAAGTACAAATCTCTAAAAGAAAGAGCTCTCACCCTAGGGTAGAGGCTTCCTGCATACCCACTCAGAAAGGAAAAGAAAACCCTTCAAACATCTTCATAGTTAATGTGTGTTTGGATAGTCGTTTTCAAGTTTCACTTCCATCAATCCTTCTGTCATGCATCTTTGGGGCCAAGATTTTCCTCAAGCAGGGCATGGGGATGGAAAGGAGAATTTTTCTTCAGTAAAATCACTTTAGAAATCAAGTTAGTACCATATTGCAACCAACAACTTAATAATTGATTCATATAAGGATCAAAAATAGATGCTAAAACCATTCAGTGAATCACTGTCAGGGAAAAAACAGGCACATGGTCTCTAAGATGACTTCACAGGTGCCTTCCCAGTCATCAAGAGGATTAGGCACTTTACAATGGAGAGGTCTGGTCAACACCAACTTATCCAAGTGATTAAACTTAGCCTAGCTAATATCATGCACCTTCTGAAGAGAAGCAATGTACACTTGCTAGCAATGTTTAATTCGAATCTAATTATGAGGACACCAACAGTTAGATGAATCTAGACTATAGCACATTTTACCAGACAACTGTCTGACTTTTTTAAAACATGTTAACATCATAAAACACAAAATAAGAAAACACAAAAAAGACAGGGAGACAAGACAGTTCATAAAAGAGATGAAGGAAACATGACAACTAATAGCTATTTGTGATTTTTGATGGAATCTTTGATCAAAACCAAAAGCAAAACAAAAAAAAAAAAAAAAAATACAGTAAAGGATAGTTTGGTTTTGAATGTGGGCTAGGTTCTTAGGAAATTTAGGCTGAAATATCAAGGTAGAAGTACAGGATATCTGCAACCTACTTTCAAATAGTCCAGGAAAAAAAGGAGAGAGAAAACAAAGATGGCTTAAAAACA